GTATAAGGACTTGGTTAAATAGGACGTTTATAACTTTTGCTATATACGTTTACTTTTTTTTGGAAGTGTAAGAAGTGATTTAAACATGTTTGGCTGTTTTTTTGTGTTTTAGGGAAAGAAAGTCAAAATCCGGCAAGGCGAGATGATATCCTGAAAAAAAAAAATTATATAGATATAATAATTTTTTTTTAGCCTGGTTATTGGATCAGTTTTCTCCTTCTCCACTTCATGCCCCCTAGCTGTAGGATTGCTGGATATCAGGGACAAATGCAGCTGCAGCGTTATTACTGAATGCTTTAGTCTTGACTGCAGTTAACCAACATGTTCTTCCCTTTTCTTCGTTTTTCCATCATCATCTTGTTCTTCCTGCAGAGCTTTAGCACATTGGTCACTGAAATTAAGAGCTAGTGCTTGTGTCAAAAAACATGTAAAGTCCATGAAAAGTATCAAATCTATTACCCACATTCAAAATATATTTGAATAGTACTTGAAATTCATATTAGAAGTCGAGGATTGTCACCTTTTAAATCCAGATATTACTTGTTATCAGGAACATTGTGCATTCATTACCGTTTCATCCGTATACCTACATACCTATCAGTTTTATTTAAGTTTTTTTTTTAACATTGATTATAATTTACTGTGATGTATTATGGAGGTACACGTTCTGAAAAATACTTAGAATTCAAGTAAATTAGGTTTTCTGCCCCTAAAGGTTTGCTATCATTCCCAATTTCAATTGGTTGTGATTCAATACCTAAATTTAACATTCAGTTGTTATAAAATATGACCTGGATCAAACCAGAATAACTCAGCCTTGTTCTGCTGGTCGATCCTGTTTTTTTCTTTTCTTTTATTGTCTTAGACACATCTCACTGTAGAGCAGACTAATTTTTCTGCAGTCAACAGCTGTCAAAGATGTGAAAAAGAAACCAAAAGACAAGCAATTAAAGGGCGTACTTTCTTCTTTTAACAAGCTTGTACTCTTGTAGCTCATGATAGTAATAGTCTTTTTTGTTGTTTAAAATAAGTGGACATGTAGAAAGAATAAAAAAGGTGACCAGAATGATAAGGGCCTTGTTACAGACTTGTAAATGCTATAAAGCAGCAATGGTAAAAAGCTATAGCGTATATGCTTCAATAAAGTCCAGGACCATGAAGAGATTTAGTCAGCTAAAAGGAAGAACGTGGGGAAAAGGAGTCTCCCCTCTGCTTTATCTGTAAGGGTTTAAACTACACATCATTATCCTCTGCTACACCAATTATACTCTGTCAATATACATTTGGTTTCCCCTATAATAAAATAATAATAATAAAGTCAGATGGAGCCAATGCTTCCCATGTAGTAAGCATTAGCTCCATCTCCTGTCAGCTGATCTCATTTAGCTCGTTACAATGCAAGTTTAGTTAATTATCAGCAGAAAAAAAAGCATTTTCTTATCCTGACACACTTTAACAGCTGTGGTCTGTAGTTGATGGCCTGGCTGTTGACTCCCTGCTTGAAACATAGCATACACAGCATTGTATCCTCATGCATTTAGTGCTGATTCACTTTATTTTTTTAAGCCAATATGCCATCTCAGGTGTGTTCAATCACAGTGTCATTTTAGAGGTGTTATTATTTACACACAGCTGTGTGATTCCATATAGAGTTGTCCAAATGTGGCAGTGCTCATCTTTTTTAGAATTGGAGAATTTGGAAGATTTGAATGACAGGTAGTGATTCATTTATCATTAAAGATTTTCAGAGTTTCTTGCTGTAAAATATGTTGATAAATTCCCTTTATGGAGTTAAAAACGATAATTTGTTTCTCCATAGTTTTGTCTGCCATGAAGACTTGCAAGTAACCTGCAGGCATTTTCTTTCTTTTTGATCACAGGAGACACAAGCACTGACCTGTTTAGATGATATTAGTAAGTACAATGTTGGATGATGGATTTTTAATTGATTGATTTAAGGAAGAGGATTAGGTCAAGGATAAAACAAATGTTTTTTTTCTGACTTTAATCTCAGAATTTTGACTTATTCTGACTTTAATTTCAGAATTAATCTGATGGACATATGGCTAATTGTAATATTCCTACTTTATTGAAGTGATAATCCTGGTCTTTGCAATAGAGTTCTAAGTAATTTGACTTTTAACTCTGAGATTAAAAGTCAGAATTCTTTTTTTTATATACAAACTTGTTCCTCTGCTTCAGAGCCTTTTCTGTGTTAAGCAATCATTATACTCGACTATCAGCAAAATGCTTTATTAGATCAAATTTATCAAAAGAACAACAATCATTTTCGTTGGACAATCTGTGATGATGCACAAATAATATCTTTAAATTAAAACTTCAGGGTTTAGATTGTAGCCGATGAAATTTAAAGCACAAACAAATCTATCTTTCTAAAGTCTCTGACCAGCAAAGGAAAAAAAAAGGAAAAACAAATATTTTTAAATGTAAATATCTTGTAAATGTTTAATTAAATTACTTTGGTGGAGGTTTTAAGCAAACTGAATTAAGCAGAAGTTTATTTAGGAGGTTTCCCAGCAGTTCAAAAAGCAATAGGCTTTGCACAATCTGTGGCTGGTGTGATAAATTTCACTGTTTTAAATGAATCGACTGCTGTAAGCCTCAATAGATGGCGGCATGAGTTTTTTTTATTATTGAAAAATAAGACGCTTTTTGTGTCCAAACGCTGCAAAGGGTTTGTTCATTAAAGTCTTTTTGTAGGCTGTTTTTATAAAAAGAAAAGTTTAAATGTGGTTTATTAAACTGATCAGTTTTGACTTGTGGGTAAAACTTCTTAAAGGACTAAGTAAGGAGCGCTGACCCAGTCCTGTGTGTTGTCTTAACATTGTTGGCACATATTTAAACAGTTTGTTAAAGCCCCTTACTGAAATCAGCATTTTTATACAGCTTGGTTTAAAGAAAAATAAAGTAAGGCCTATCTAATATCTGATTATTAATGGTGGTAAGTTTGTCCTGCTTGTGTCTTAATTGTCTTCCTCTCGGCTTGTTGGGTTGAGTTGTGAAGTGCTCGGGTTTGTCTATGATCATATTTTATGGCTCTGGTTCCGTCTTTTATAGCTTTTTTTTGCTTGGTGTGCATTTGAAACTCCAGACAATCTGAACGGTGCCACCTTGTTTAACGACTCATCCATTTACTGTACGTTTAAAGACAATAACTACTCTTCTATTTGTTAATTCACCGCTTTGGAAAGCTTTACGCCTCAGTAGTGGAGCTTGCAGAGATTACCTTGAACTCTGAGATGGACACAGGACTAGATCTGAACTGAAGCTGAGCTGGGATTGAAGTGCTTAGTAATAAAATGAGCTGCCTTGAACATTTGTTTAACCTGTGATTTGACAGCACAGAGCCAGCCTTGAACTTTTTTCCCAATCACAGCCTTAAACCACACTGTCTGTTTTACACTAGAAAGCACAGATTTAAACGTGCAAAGCGATTATAGACTCAGACTTAGCACGTCCTTGGATCAAATACCTGCTTAGGCACCAGGAGTTTGGCGTACAATTGTATTATTACTTGAATTTAAAGTTTTGTGTAAAGAAAAATGGACTATCTTTTTTTTGTCAGTTTGTAATACCTTTTGTAAATGTATTTTCTCTACAGCTGTGAAAATTGATATATGCCGTCATGAATAAATGATTTTAAGACTTGCTTAAGTCATTTTTTTCTACCCTTTAGTAAAAAAATGTTTTCAAAATTCAGACTTTTTTTTATGATCCTCACAGACTTCCTATGCAGCTTTACAAATATTGCTTCTACTGTTATTTTTTCAGGTTCAGTTGTGTGCAGGATTCAAACAGAAGAGCTTAGTCAAGGTTTTCCAACCCTACAAACATTTTCACATTTTGTTCCCTCTGAGATACAAAGAATTTTTGTTTTAATGTGAACGAGCAAAACAAAATTGACAAAAACAAGGAAGTGGAGGGAAAACCACATTTTTTTTTTTTTTTTTACATTGCAGTGGCCCGATAGGCTTTTGTTTTGTTCTTTGCAGACACTAAACTGCCTTTAATCACTAAGGCCATCATGGTTGCTGCTGTGATAAATGCTCACCTTCTCTAGCCTATTGCTCTAGATCAGGTCTGCTGCCTGCTGCTCTGGACTCATGTTGCTGTTTGGAACCTCTATGCTGGTTCCTTATAGTGGCCAAAATTATATATAGAACCAACTGATTTGATCGCTTTTTTTAAACAATATTTGAATAAATTTTCAGAACAAAAAAGAATTAAAATATCCAAAAATGTCTATTTCTTGATCGTATGTTTGGAAATTAAAGCAACATCAAAATATCAGATAATATCCTACAGAAGAAAATCTATGCTTCATCTTTATGCACGTTTAATATTTTTTGTGTCTATTTTTAAGCTAAAAATACAAAGAAACTTTCAATTGTTTAAAATGGGAACAGATTTCCTAAAGCACACATTTACAAAAAAAAAAAAGCCGTTTTATTAAGAGATTACATGTTCACAGCTCTAAACGATTTTTACTCGTTCGGATTCAGATCAAGATAGCTCTTTGGATTTCAAAGGATGCAGACCCCTGCTTTAGATGGACATCTGTCTCTCTAAAGTTGTCCCTGACCTGTGAAGTTCCTTAGTCTTTCTAAAGCTGTCTGTTATAAACAGCTGGATTTATACTGGGGTTAGATTCACGGGTGGACTCTTAATAACGAGCTGGCTTTTGAGGACAGCTGGTAACTAGGTTTTATTAAAGGGTATTAAAGTTAAGACGGGAGTGTTGGTATGGGGGTTTCAAACGTTTCCTTTTCTAAAACATTTAAAAATGAGAAATGTGAAGAAGTTTAAGGAGTAGTTGTAAGTTCGGAACACAGTTAAATCAGTGTCACATGTTTCTGACTTTATTTAGGTGATAAATCTTGTTTTTTGGGGGTTAAGGCACTTCGGTATTTCGTTGAATTCGAGGGGATTTAATTCACCTGAACAAAAAACTATTCTGGGAAAACAAAGAGATGCTTTAATTGGGTTATTCACATTGGATTTTACTGAAGGACATTAGTCAAAGTAGATTGACAGAACTGTAAAATTTTTGAACATATACATTTTTTTTATTTTCCTTGTACTTCACAGTAACACACTACTTTATGTAGGTCAAGACAATGAAATCTGAATAAAATATGAGGAAATGTATAGCTGTAATGCAAAATAGCTTAAGGAAGACCCTCCAGAGTACTCTAGTGGCAAAACTGAAGTTAATTAAAATAAGCATACATTTAACAATAACAAACATATTAAAGGCTTTAACTTTGGCTGAATGTCGAATATGTTTGAAAATAATATATATGCATTGATACAAACACTGATACCTATTGGTGCTCCAATAGTAGCATTTCCAGCACACATGGTGATGTTTACAATATATATTTGAAGTTTCATGTCGGCAGAATCAGAACAAAGTGACTAACAGATCTATTGTTTCTGTTTCTAACTCAGAAAGTTATAGTGGGGAGCTGGAAAATAATGCAGCTGATAAAAATCTTAGTTTTTCCTCAATGAAACAAATTTCTATGTGGATGAGAGCTGCAGACTGCTGGAAATGCAGTTATGTGTGCATTAGTGCAGTCAGTGAAAACATTGATCTGTGAAAGTAATGTGTAGGAACCCAGTGATACTTGTTCTAAACGAAGCAGTAACACTCGTTAAAAGGCAACCTTCTCAGAAATAACTAAAAGGGTAAACAGAGCACTGACTGAAAAGGACAATACATTATGGCATCAGGGAAAATACAAACAAAACAACTTGATTGATGCTTCAGAAACTTTGTTATACACGTCACTTCTCTGTTTCTCTGGATGTAGCTTCACTCTGATAAACAGAAGATCTCCTGTTATAACCCACAGCATCTATTTCAGGCCACTCCTGATGGATCCCAGCAGAACCTGTGACCGCAGTCCAGAGCTGACAGTCTGTTAATATCCGTGTCACTCAGGCTGAAGTCAAACACCTCCGCGTTCTGCAGTATTCTGTCTGGGTTTGAGGATTTTGGCAGCACTGGAATACCCTGCTGCACCGCCCAGCGTAGTAAAACCTGAAAGACGGAGGGGCGGGGGAAAAAATGATGTGTTAAATATTGACATAGATAAAAATAAGATGAGTGTTTGCTTTAGTAGGGAAGGTGCACACACCTGTGCAGGTGTGCGTTTGCAGTTCTCTGCCACCTCCAGGACCACTGGGTCAGTGAGCAGCTCTCCTTTTCCTAAGGAGGAGTAAGCTTGAAAGCAAACTCCAGACTCCTTACAGAGACTCCTCAGTTCAGGCTGGCATAGCCGTGGGTGAAACTCCACCTGGAGGAAGCAAACAATCCCAAATCAACCTGACATATGATACTGTTTGTTGCCGACACAGGAAAAGAAACACCCCATTACCACATAGCCATCATGGGAGGAAACTAAGTACACTCCTGCGTTCTTAGGACTTATGAGGAAACGTATCATTCAGGTGCTGACTATATGCTTCTTGTGAAGCATATGAATGACTGTTAACACAAACAAAGACTTAATGATGCAAATGCTTATTGTTTTTCCTCCCTACTGTCATGTAAATAATAAAAAATCTCTAAATTGTAACAACTATATACTCTACGGGCATAAGTTTTCAGTTTAAAAGGAAATATCTATGAAAAGATGCATAAAAAGGGTTAAAGGCTTAGAAGTCTCTCAAATGTGTATGTATTTAAGTCTGCTATGCTGCTTCTGAATGAACAGTGTCATTTTGATGTAGATTTGAATGCTAAATATCATGAATTCTAGCAGCTAAAGCTCAGACCAAATTGGGTTATAAGCAGTGTTCTACCTGTAAGACTGCAGGGGGAACTTTGCAGCTCTGCATCAGTTCTCTCATGTGTGCTGGTGTATAGTTGGAGACTCCAATAGCTCTCAGCTTCCCTTGACCATGAAGCTCCTCCAGGCTGGCCCAACTCTGAGCTCTGTTACCTTGGATTAAACAAGAGCCCCCGTTACATCATCATGATACGCAAGAGCTGCATCTACATTTCAATTAGGCGAACATGAGAAGTCAGCTCAACTGTTATCATGACAAACACAACACATGATGCACACAAAAACTGAGAGCTGATCTAAAATCACTAGGAGTAAGAATACAAATTAGGAAAGTTAAAATCTTTATTTTTTTCTATTAAAATGTGTCTTTTTTAAAGGCTGCTAAGATTTATTTGCACCTCTAAAAGGAAAGATGCCATTAAGATGCTGAAATCAATCACTGTACGGTACCTTGAAAAGGTAAGCCTGCAAAGCAAGTCTATAATTTGGATTGAAAGAAAGTTTCTTTCCGCAGTGGATGTTGCCCAATTATATAATCATTTCCATTAGATAAAAAAAAAAAAAGCAAAAATATTGTGAAGTTTACGGTTGTAATCTGACAAAATTTAAGGAAATTGGGGAAGGAAGACTAATGTACAACTGTTTATATATATATTTATATATATATATATATAAAGCATTTCAGGTGCCTAACGTTTTGTGTTTGGGTATGCAAAATAAACATAAACTTTAATGATCTCACAGTGGAGAAATTTACTATTGACATCGGCTAAATAGTCAAAAAGAAGGTTACAAAATAAGGAAAAGACAGTACGGTATATGAAGTGCATCCACATATATACATAACAGCTAAAGTCTATTATTGCACAGGGTATTAAATATAAACAGGTTATGCATGGGGTATTAAATAGTGATTGCACATTAGTTATTGTGCAAGTTATGAAAATTTTCATCAATGAAAAAAAATTGCATTATTAGCCCTGTACCTGGGTTGCGCTCATCTGCCACTGCTAGTCCTTGAGTCCCAGGCCAGTGGATCAGATAGAGATCTATGTACTCCAAGTCCAGCTGAGACAAACTATGGAGGGCCCCCTCCATGGCCTTTTTACCCTGATCCTTAGGGCCCAACTTACTGCAGCAAGATACAGAAAAGAAAATAACATTCTGAGAAAAGTCTACACAAAACAGGTCAGCTTTACCCATACAAACAATCAGTTATAGAGAATAAGAAATATATATAACAACCTAGTTATGAACACATCCTTTCTCGTCAAGCCATATTTGGGAAGGAGCTCTCTCAGGGCTTTCCCTAAGTCAGCCTCATTGCGGTAGACAGCAGCGCTGTCAAAGGCCCTATATCCAGCAGACAGAGCTGCATCCACAGCTCTGTGCACATCTTCAGGGCCACACAGCTTGTAGGTCCCCAGGCCCAGAACGGGCATCTGAAGCCCTGTGTTCAGGGCAACAGAGGGCGAGGAGAAGGGCGTAGGGGACATCTGATGATGAAAACCCAGAAACATAATGGGCATAAGAAAATACACTGCAATAAAAAGGTTCTCATATAATATATTTTAATGTAAATAAATAAATAAATAAATCACTTCGATATCACAGCACAAGTAAATTATCATTTATCTACAACGTAAACGTAATTTTTAAATGTTTATTATCTCTGTTAAATGAATTTCAAATACCATAATCAACCCTAAAAGTTTTCACTTTTCACCTATAAGAAAAAAACAGTAAATACCTACCCTCAAGTTTACAGCGTGCTGCACTTCCTGTTATCAGCTGGCGGTCACGTGACACGAAAATATGGGCGGCTTTTGCGGTAACCACAGCGACATCTCCACTAGCACCGCCGATTGGATAAAGACAAATCCAATCAGAGTAGCGCAAACAGCATAGAGGCGGTAATAAAAAGCAGCTCAACCAATAGTAAGACGAAGCGGGTGTTTGATTGACAGTCAGGATGTTAACCGTTCATGTCCCGCTCCCGAATATTAAAGCGACAGTACAACATTTAGAGGTTGAGGAAGCGATTTTTTTTTCTCCTTGTATTACGGTACTGGAAGTTTATATTATAAAATTGATGATAACAAGTTGAAAAAATATATGTTTGAAATGCTAAAATTTTCATTTTGTCTAATTTCAGCTACGTAAAACCAACCATGGCGGGGCGACCCTTCTCCTTCCAATTCTCACAAAGTCGATACATTAAAGCTGGTAGTTTAATCTACAGGTTTAAGATCAGAGGAGGAAGCAGCTTTAGGTTTGGATGACTTTTTTACTTATTTTGTGGTTACTTGATTATCTGTGTTTATCTGAATTATTATATTTTTTATTTTGAATATATTAAATAATTTCAAGATGTATGGCTCATGTTCCCTTTTTTATTTTTGTGATAACATTGTGTGATTCCATACTTTCTTTGTTTTTTCTCTGGACCAGAACCTGTTAATAGTTATTTGTATTTGTCTGTTTCTATACATATTTATACTCAGTGAAGATGAAGTTTTGAAGGATGAAGGCTTCGATCAACAAATGGAGGTAATTACGGGGACTCTGTAATGATTACAGAACCTTATTTTTTTTCGGTTTCTGTATATTTTTATCTTACTTTGTCTCTTATACACTTTTAGGAAATTGTTCGAACAGTTCTTGCTGCTTTGGACTGCCTTCAGCCCTTCTCCACTCCGCATTATAATGTTTTTCCATGTATCCTTTCTATTGGTTTATTTTCTCACCATTGTCTTTTGTTTGCTATTTGTGTTTACTATAACTGAAGGGGTATACAAAGTTTTTTAAGAAAGAAATTTGATTTAAGAAATTTTTTTATGAAAATCGTTTCCAGACTTTCTATATACATTGTAAACATAATTAATATAACAATGTCAAAAAGTAAGTCTCCTATCAGTGTTATGCCTTCCCTCCATCTGTACACTTAACAATTACAGCCATAACAGCCACTTTTCATTTATTCACCAACATGGCCATACAATAAGACTGTATGGTATTGAAAATATTCTGATGACAAATTAGGTGACATTTTTCTTTTTTTAATCTTTACTTCAATTCCACTGGAACCTTTAGATAATTCTAAAATGCCATTTAAAAGAATTAATGATTTATTTTAAGACAATCCACCAAAATATTAAACATAACTTATATAAACATGAGTATAATGTTATAATATATAATAACGTATATGTATAATTTAGTGATTCTGTTTTAAAGGCTCTGCCTCCACTGTGAGAACTGATGTTAGATGCTGTTCAATTAGCTAATTGTTTCATTAGCATCGTGAAAAAATGCTAAAATATATATTAGCCAAATATTATTGAACTCCAAACAGTCCTTTTTGCTTTAAATATTGTGCACACTGACATCCTGATGAAAATATAATTGTAAAATATTACAGTTCATCACTCTTGGTATCATCCATCCATCCTTGCGTCTTTTCTTATCAATACCTTTCAGATAAAAAAAGATGCAGGAAATTCTGCAGACACCACCAGAGGAAGCTGTTAATTTACCCCTTCATCATTATCATCTACCTGCAGAAGAAAAAAAGGCTCGGTGAGGTTGGATTTCACATCTGTTTATAAGCAGACAGTATTGCATGGGTCTGCTTTAAACAACCTTTTGTTCAACTTTGTTGATCTGCTACTGGAACATTAGGACAATTAAGATAAGAAGAAAATGTTAGTGTTTTTAGGAAGAGCTGGATGTGATGAATAGCAAATCCTTTGGCTTTGATTAAAAATCCTGTAACGTGGGACTATTTGTCTGTTTCAGGGGAGATAACACAGGAGGTGAGTTGTTTTTCATTATTTCATCATGATGAGGTGCAAAGAAAGATTTTTTTTTGTCCAACAATATTTGCTAATTTAAAAAAAATACCTATCACAAAAATATTTAACCAGAAAAATTATTTAAAAAACTTTATTTTTTATTTTATTTTATTTTTTACTGGAGACAAAACAGAGGCAGCTCCCTACTGTCTTTGATGAGCCGAGGCCAGAGTGCAGTTGCAGGAACTCAACGCTAGAGGAGGCCATTATTGAAGAAATTTTCAGAGACATGGGGACTGGATGTACTTTCTCAGTAGCAGGGTGAGTACCTAAAGCAGGGGTCTGCAACCTGTGGCTCCAGAGCCACATATGGCTCTTTGGAGCCTCTCCAGCGGCTCTTAATAGTAGCTAAAATGTATATAAAGAGCTAAATAATTTACTATAATATATACCGGTATCAATAGCTTTAGCGTTTTTTATAAAATGGAAAAGAATGAGATTAAAAGAACCAGAAATATGTTTTAAGAGACATTTTTCTATGGATTAGCTTGAAAATTATATGTTTTAACATTAAAAATACATGAATTGTTGATTGATTGAGATGACAACAACTAATTTCCTATACAAGATAAAAAAAAAAGGTTTTCTAGAAAAAGTCATGGTATATTTTGCGGCTCTAAACAACTTTTACTTGGTCGGACTCTGGGCAAAACGGCTCTTTGGATATGAAAGGTTGCAGACCCCTGACCTAAAGAGAAGTTGTCTTCAGTTAAAGACTTTTTGTACAGCTTAAAATGTACACAAGCTTGAGCTTGGACTAATTTGACAATATTCATCAGTTTTATTGTAGTTCAACGATTATTTAAATATTCAAAAATATTGTCCCATCTTCAAGGGAAAATAATGTGTACTTCTGTTTCTGTCAGTTCACAACAAATACAAGCCAAGCCATATATAGTTGAATAAAATGCTGTACTTATTATCAGAGTACATTCAGATCAAATTACAGAGTTTCTAATACAGTCACAGTTTATTACAATGATCACAGAATGCCAATTAGAAGGAGCTATCTGTCTAAATAAACCTAGATGAGTGATAATCTGCAGGGAAGTAGCACAAAAACACAAAAAAAAATCATGTTTTAGAGATAGTCTTTATTTAAGATAAAGAAATAGCTTACAGAGGGTGTATTTTACCAGGTTTACTTTCTATAAGAAGAAAAACCAAAAAGCAATCAATGAAGGCAACATTAATGCAATGACCTATAACCTTTACTTCAAGCAGGACCAGGTGATTGAGTTCTGTTGTCACTGAGATTATCATACTATGCTGACATTCCATACCAAATATTTTCCAGTACAGGAAGTAGAATGAAAACATAGGGTTCTGGTTGACCCTAAAAAATCCTGTGTATCTGTTACTGTGTAAATGGGTTTGGGTGTAATTTCAGGACATATGCTAATATATCTGCAGTGTGGGGATTATAAATCTGATATAATCTTTTTTTTATTGCTATTTTGCACAATTTACTTAACTAAATATTTTTTGTTGGCGAATATAAGATTTTGCTGATATATTTTTTATACATACATTGTTTAGATTTGCTTATATCTTTCTACCCCTTTTACAGAATATAATAGAAAATCCATTTACTGTCCGACAATGGGGAAATTCTGGTGTTTACTTCAGCAAAAAGATTATAGGAAAAAATTGTCACACAAATGTGGACCTTAGAAAAATGTATAAGAACAACATAATAGTGAAGAGTTAAAAGATAAGAAATAAAACACTGTAGTGTAAAGTGCTTTAACAATATAAAAAACTGTGCAACTGGAGAATAAATAACAAAAGTACATCTATAGACATTTTTACAGTAATGGATATTTGAAAATAGCAGTGTACTAAAATCTCAAGCCTGGTTTATTTGGTACCTAATGGCAGAAACTCTGGCTGTGGCGCCTCCCACAATGCCTGGCACACCTCGGATACTATCCCAGACACCGTACAGGACGCTAGTTTCTAGCTCTGTGAAACGTTAAACTATTTCACCTTTTCAATTCATGATCCACCATGGACGGGTTCGTTGTTGGATTTCCAACTTGAAGGGGGAGGAATTTCCATCAAACTTCTGGCCAGAGAAAACAACATCAATCCATTACTCTCTGCTTCCCATAGTCCACTGGTCATTGCCATCAGGGATAATAGCGCGTTGTGACAAACACCAGATACAGCATTGGAATTGCTCAATAGCCGATTCCGCATCATAACGTCACAAACCAATAGGTGGCAGTAGTGTTCCTTAAGAAACATGGGCGCCTCAAGTAAAGCACATTCAAATAAAATTACTCATAGTTAAACACACTTATAATTTGTTGAAAAGTATGTAATAATTTAATACTTCAAGTACTTTCAGAAGTTTGTATTCTGGATGTGACCAGAATTTTCCTTTAATAATGTTTTTCCTGAGAAAATAAATGCATTAAAATCCTTTCTGTTTTATCACCCGTCTCTGCCCGATCGGTACCGGAAATTGGATCCTATGCTACTTCCAGGAGCTAACTTTTCCGGGCTTTCACTTTAAACATAAATCAAATCTTTTTGAGTTTTATGTTTTCATATTGTGTTAACATTATTGTATATATTCAATTCAATTCAGTTTATTTCTATAGCGCCAATTCACAACACATGTCATCTCAAGGCACTTTACAGTTTAACCAGATCCTCCAGATCATTGATTCAAAGTTTTCTATCTAAGGAAAACCAGATGAATGCATCGACTCATTGATTCAAATACAATTTCTCACACTAAGCATGCTTGTAGTGACAGTGGAGAGGAAAAACTCCCTTTTAACAGGAAGAATCCTGCAGCAGAACCAGGCTCAGTGTGAGCGGCCATCTGCCGATGCCAACTGGGGTTGAAGGAGACAGAAGCAGAGATACAAAAAGCAGCTGTAAAAGGCGGCGCCGTCCAGGAAACACACAGCCAGGCAGACGAGCACCGAGCCGGCTCCCATGTCAGAGGATGAAGAGAGTACATCCAGCCAGTCACAGTCAGGCAAACAGGACTATATAGTGCATAATCTAAATTAAGAAAAAACTAAAATGCAGATAAACATGGTTTAATTATATCTTGCAGGATTGCTCTGAGCATGTCCGATAAAGACATCAGACAAGCAGTTTAAAGGTGAAAATGTTAAAAGCACCAAATTGTCTAAGAAAAGTCATAGAACATTTTTAAAAGATGTGTATTAGCACTCTTTAGTGATTTAAGGTTAGAAATAAGTACTTTTAGTACCACAATGACATGAATTATGGCGAACTGGATGAATATCTGCTTGCATGTGCACAAATGAGCTGATGGTACTGATTGGGCTTCCGGTACGGATCCGGTAGTGACACCTAGTGGCGGAGTTGCTAAATGGGGGGTTGGGGGTGTGCTCTCTGTACATGCATCTGTTTACTGGAGTGTGAGAAACAGACACTAGAGGAACAAAGGGAAAGAAGGAAGACTTACCAAAATAAAGGCAGAAAGGACGTGACTGAAGCCCTACTGTGGTCCAAACATTTACTCGCCACGTCTGGCATTAACTCGCCAAATAAAAAATGTAGTCAAATTTGGCGAGTGTTCATCACGGACCCTAAGTACCTGTGATAAAAGTTAAAGACTTCTACATACTCTGAAACTGAAAAGCTGCAAAATCAGCAGTTTATCAAATACTTGTTCTCCCTACTGTAACTATAAACATGTAAAAAAATGTAAATGTTGAGTGCATGAATTAGTGAAATTAGTAACTAAACAATTAATCTATTTTCCTGTTCTTAACCTTTACTTTATAGGTTAAAGGATAGTAGAGCCTCTGAATGTCTGTACAATTATTGTGCTGATCATAGTTTTACTCGCAAACGTGCTTCACTGCTTCTTGCTGACATGGAAGAGACTAGAGGCGAGTGGGCGCCACATCAATCATCCTGACAGTCCGATCAGTGGAGCATAAACAATTATTTCGATTGTGCACACACACATATTAAAAGGTTATTTCCTGCACTGAGTTTGTATTTCCTTTGTATAAACAAAATCTTCTTCTGTTTTAACTTGATTAGCCCACGCTTATGCACAAACTGTGTAAACATCCTAAAGGCACCAGGGCCGTGAGCATCAGGAACACTTCTCTGGTAATCTTCGAGCTGTTCTCACAGATTAAAACCCAGAGGTTTGAGTTCAGACTACAATTAAGGTACACCGATGTGGCATCTACAGCTGCCAGTGTTCTGTTCTAGACACAAGCTGCTTCATCCCCCACAGGATAGTGTTGATGTCTAAGAATGTGTCTACATTATGCCCTGTAGCGAGGATTTGCTTTTGTGTTTAACAGCATGGGAGAATGGGATCTAAAATTTTATGTAAAAGAAAACCAAAGGCTCTGGGGTTCTCTCTTGGATACATTTTTCATAAATGTTTTTTTTGTGTCTTTTGTTTTCTTAAATTCAATTAGTTTGAATCTTGCCATTTTAAAATAGAGTTGCTGTTTAAATGTCACTTTACAAAAAAACAAAAACAAAAAAACAACGTAAATTGCATTCATAGCAATACAATACCAAAATAATTAAATTTTTGGAGGTTTTTCAAACTACCCAGGGTAGAGTTGGAAGATTTGATCAGTGAATTCTGAATAATAATAGTTCTTGAAAGTCTTTCCTGGTAGAGTTGAAGCTGGGGATAATCACCAAACAAACAAAGCCATCAATGAAAGGCTAGTGAGATGTTTTAACATCTACCTGCCTGGGAAATGCAAATAATAATCACTTTAATGTGTAAAACTAAAACATTTGCCTACTGTTGTTGCTGTTTCAGACAGTAAAGCTGTCATTTTAACCTCCTAATATCTTCTCCACACAATGGTATTTCTGCCTCACTGGTGCAGAAATACATGATGCTTTATATCAGGAGTGGGCAACTCAAGTCCTTGAAGGCTGCTGTCCTGCAACATTTTGATTGATCTAACTCACTTGAATGAAGTTGCTAAATTACTTCCCCAGTATGCAGCCAATTTCTCCAGAATCATGTAATTCATCTTATTACTTTATGAAGGTGTGTTGGACAAGGGGCATATCTAAAAAAAATGGAGGATACAAGCCCTTGCTAACAGGAGTTCCCCATTGCTAATTTAGATCAATTGTCTTCGCTCAAGCCTGCAATGTTCATGATTTGATCACCTGAGAGGCTTGTTTTTCCAACATTTTTATAAACATCTAGAAGAATTTTCAGCTTCAAGTCAGTGAAAACAACTAAAAAACACAGAACATAAGGTTGTTAAAGAACAGATCAATCAGCACGAATGTAACATCACACAGTATAGTGTTGGTAAAAATTCAGTCTGTATAAATAAGCCTTTAACTGATTTTAAAGGAATCAACATCAGAACATCATCACAGTCAGGACACTGAGGCATTGGATTTCACAATCCAGGAGTCACCCCTTAAAAGGATTCAAATCTTTCCAGGGATTGAAATCTGTGAAACTATTTGAAAAAATCTTGGACTTTATGGAGAGAAATAAATCCAAATTTTAGAATTTGAAACTACTTGAATGAAATTTATCCTAATCTTAATCCAGGCATCAAGCATTTAGACAACTAATTTAAAATACTTATTTGAAATACTAGTTTAATTTTTTTTTTTTACATTGCATGTTTACCACAAATATGCCCTACAGAATAAAGTAAATGTAAATCTGAGATTACTACAATGAGCCAGTAACAACCTTGCTTAATCTCGTGAAACACAATGCAGACACTCTGTCTGCACTAATGAAGATTAAGTTATCTTGGCACATCAGATGCTTCAAACTAAAAGTGGAGCTGACAGTATGAGCTATTTTCTGATGGATACACATGACTCATCTAACGACTGGGGGGAACATCATTGTGCACTGGCATTTCTTTCCCAAACTTTAGTTTACTGTATTTGTGATGTCACAAAGAAAAGTAAAGTAAAATGGTAAATGTCCTGCAATTGTATATCACTTTATCAAGACCAAGGACTCCAAACAAAGTGCTTCACACAGCATTCAATCAGTCACACATCATACACACATTCCTACACTGAGAGTGTTAATCTACATTGCAACCACAGCTGCCTTGGGGCAGGGTGACATAAGCAAGGCTGCCATATAATCAGTGCCACCGGGCCCTGTGACCACCAATAGTAGGCAAGGCGGGTAAGGTGTCTTGGCTGAGTCACAACGATTAACATAGAGAAAGCGAGAGCTCCAACCAACAGCCCTCTGGTTACAGGACAAACTTTTCTATCCTAATACCCATCTCTGATAATGTTGAACATAAAATTCTACACCCTTGATCCCAATATACATTCAGTATTTAAACCTGGAGTGCATCAAAACAAACAATTGCTTTAAAGTACAGTTTAGGGTTATTTAAAGAACACAGCAGATGGTAATAACAAAATAGCATTAAATAAAAGCTTTAAGTTAATTGGGCCTTTTCAATCTGGTCAAAACTGGAAGGATCTGTCCTCACAAGATGAGTTAGATTATCGGACAGGGATTGTTCGCTGTTAGCATGTAGTGAACGGACCAAAGTGGACCGATCAGAAATATGATAAATAACATGATCTTATAGCAGCCCTGTCTCTTTTATGCACAAATTCTGTTTTTTTTTTTTTTTTTTTTTTATTCAATTAGACCTGGGTAATACAGACTTTCAACATACATGACAATATGTGAAACCAGGTTTACATGTAATCTTTAAATATACAGTATATATACAGTATATAAACAGTATATATAAATATATATATATATATATATATATACATATATATATATATATGGTAATATACATATATATATGTATATACATATATATATCTATACATATACATATATATATATAGATGTATATACATCTATATATATATATATGTATATATATATATATATATGGTAATATACATATATATACGTATATATATATGTATATATATATATATACATATATATATGTATATATATATATATGCATATATATATATGTGTATATATATATATGCATATATATATATATATATATATATATATATATATATATATATATATATATATATATATATATATATATATATATATATATATATATATATATATGTATATAAAAAAAAAATGTTTTCTCACCCCTCGTGGGGTGGTATGTGTCATCCTCAAGCTTGGGTCCTCTACCAGAGGCTTGGGAGTTTGAGAATTCTGCGCAGTATCTTAGCTGTTCCTAGGACTGCGCTCTTCTGGACAGAGACCTCTGATGTTTTACCTGGAATCTGCTGTAGCCACTCTCCCAGTTTGGGGGTAACAGCCCCCAGTGCTCCAATTACCACTGGCACCACTGCTGCTCTCACTTTCCACATCTTTTCTAGCTCCTCCTTCAGTATATATATATATATATATATATATATATATATATATATATATATATATATATATATATATATATATATATATATATATATATATATATATATATATATATATATATATAGATGGTAATATTCAAGTTTATTACCTATACATTTTAGGAGTTTATTGTGGCATAGTTTATAGCATAATGTGCAGAAACTCATTTTGAAGATCGAATGGAAAGTGGAAACTTGTATTAATGAATTTAGGAACCTTGAGTTGTGAAAATATTAGTCAGAAAATTATACTTGATATGATACTGTTGAGTTAGTGGCATACAGCATTTTTTTTTCTATATTATTTTATTTATTTTCCTCCTTGGAAATGCATTTTATAAAACATCCGGTATCATCTTGCATTTATCATAATATCGACAGGAGAAACTGAATCTAACATACAAACAGATTATTCTTGTCTTGTAGAAGCACATGCTAGGAAAACAAAACTGTTAATTGAATAGACTATAGGTGATTTATGGGACAATATTTTTAAGACTTAAATTGTCTTTTTTTTTTTTTTAAAAAGAAAAAAGATGTGATATTGTGAAGTTTTATACTATCTAAGTCAGGTGTGAGTAATTCCAATACCAGGCGATTATAGCATTTATGTTAAAGCTCTAGATGAATTTCCCTTTACTATGAATGTTTGTGACTTTATAATGTTATAATGACATTAAAGATATTCTATTAAGAATGCAAATCCTTTTACGGTGATCCATAAATCACATTAAGAGTAAATTGATCAATAAAATCAAAGAACAAAAATGGGATGATTTAGAAACATGTAATGAGATGTAATAATATCATATAAATATAATAATCAGCACAGAAAGCTGATTCTTTTACAGCTTTATTGGGAGTAAAGATATTTTGCAGTTAGGAGCAAAGTTTCTTCTGTTTTATGGCCTTTCATTTGCTCTGCTTTCTGCATTGCTTTTTTGATCATTCTATTACTGTTCCACCTAACAGAGAAATAACATGTAAGGTATCCTACTAAAGGTACCATTCCATCTGTCTTGCAGCAAAAAAAGGATGAATCATCCCCACACAGTGAAGGAGGCAGTGGATGATTCAGCACCCACTGATGAGGTGAAGCTTTTAACCATTATCCTGCTTAGATTCAAGTTATTTTAGGTTATGCACTTCCAAATAGTTAAATTCTTATATCCCCTTTTCATTTCCTCTCTAATCCGTGTATATGTAAAAATAGAAGCAGATGTGTGGCGTAACCATCTTTGTTGAAGCCTCAGGCAGGCCACACTGACAGTTGGAATAACGAGGGTGATTATGTTAATAATGGCATTACATCAGGCTGTATGAGTACATGTGTGATTGAGTCTATGTGAGCAGGCGAGGAAATGGTGTTTCTGGAGCTTGTGCTTCAGTTTGATTAGAAACTCCCAAAATTACCCTCCTCCGCTCCCATAATGCCCTTTGCCTTTTTATCTCACCTCATCCTTTGTTTTTATACTTGTCCGATTTACCTTTTTTCACTAAGAGTTCTCTAAGAGTTTGTTCTTATTGTTGTTACGAGTGGAAGATAAAGGATTTCAAACTGTCAGCCTTAAAAAAACAGCTCCTAATAGGTGTAGTGAATGATTTCACATCGGTTCTTATTTATGAGGGTTTCTTAAAAGTCTAGAAAACGATGAGGTTTGATTAAGGTGTTTTTCCAGGTCTGGATAATTGGGAAATGAAATCCATTTATCCAGCTATCCATTGACGGGCTATAAATTGATTCATTTCCTAAACCAGATATCCATCAAATCTATACATACAGTATTTATTACTCTGTCAGTCTGTCCATCCATGAATAAGAGAATATGAAAATAAGTTTTTTTTTTCTTAATTATAGAATATTAGATAATTTTAAGAACATAACATATTATGAATGAAACTGCATTTATTAACATTTCAGCTAAAGAAAAATAATTGAAATTTGAAAAAATATTTTTTTTCCTTGGCTTACAAAATCTCATGTCTTGGTAAGAGGAAAACTCAGCAGACTACTGGCAGGGATTTTGATTTGTTTTATGGATGAGCAAGGAACATGATTGATTTATTGCTCCTTGCTCATTTATCTGGTATTTACTTTTGTTTTATTAATACAGTACTTCACCTAACATTACAATTTACTCCTCCAAATTCAAGAGTTTAACACCTTTAAAAGCAATTAATTCATTTTATTCATTTAGCCCAACTAAATTAATGTAATATTTTAGTTCCAAGTAGATAGCTTGATTCTGATGTTATTTTTTATGATAGATTTATCTTTTTCTGGTGTTCTTTTTGCCTCTGGTATTAAATGCTGTGAAACTAGAGGGATTTTTACTGATATGTTTTTCCTTTTTGGACACTTTATATGATGCATAACAACCATGTTTATCACTGGGAGCAGCTCATTAATATCTCTAAAGCTAAATTAATACTTCAACCACTCCGCATGTATCCGTTGAGCTACAACGAAGAGCTGGGAATGCAGAGCAAGGAGAAGAGAAAGAAACAAGAAATTAAAGCCGTCTCTTCCATCAATCATTTTGGGCAATGTATGATCTTAAAAAAACAGATTTGACTGTACTTCTTCAGCAAGATGCTGCTTACATCTAGAAGATGCTCTTCTATTAGTATGCTGAGGAGAGTTTGATCTCTTCCTCCATAATCTGCTGGGGTAACAGTATTAGAGCTAATGGACTAGGGACTTCCCTAGAACCTCTGGAGTTGGTTTCATAAAGAAGAATTCTTCATAAAGTGATGAACATTATGGACACCAGTGAGCATTCTCTTCAGAAAACTGTTTAGAGGCTGTAAGAGGCTCCTCCATGTCAAGTACAAGACAGACCTCTTTAGAAGATCTTTTTTACCTACAGCTATCAACACCTTTAAAACTTGTTGAGAAATTGTACCGTAGTTACCCCAGCATTTAATATCTCTTTTGGATTAAAGCTGCAGTCTGTAACATTGAGGAGAGAGCAGACTTCGACTGAAAATTTGAAGAAAAACAGGTTTCACGCCACTCCCCCACCCTCTCTGCTTCACTCATGCCCCACCTCCAAGCTCCACCCCTCTCACAGCATCTGTGCGACCAGAAGGGGGGGGGGCGGGATTCAGCGTGTGTGAGCTGTGATTGACACTCCATCAGACGCTCCTCTGGCTGTGATTGGTTGTTTTGACTCGTCCCGAATTATTCTTTCCAGATTGAAATACAGGCAGTAGGCGGTACCAATTGAAGCAGTTTTTTTCACAGGTTACATATCACATGTACTGCTGTCTGGGCATAGGGACAGTTTTAGCCAATATGACAAAAAAGTGATTTTTAAAAACTTACAGACTTCAGCTTTAAGGAAGTATTTTTGAATTCAACTGGATTGAAGTCGATTTCATCATTTTGCTGCCTCTGCAGCAATCCCACAATCTGGGCAAGTTCAGCGGTTTTGGTGTTGAAACATACTTAAAATGAAAAAGAAATGATAACTAAAAGTGTTGTGTGTCATCCTTCCCCTTTTTTTTTTTAGATTCCTACTTTTATCTATATATTATACAAGATGGAGCTGTGCTGGCTGAGCATAAGGACCTCTTTAAGTTTATTAAAAGTTTGATTTCTTCTCTAGCCTCAGGCTGAACAGTGCACACCAGAGAAACAGAGGATGACCGGGAACCCTGGGATTCTAAAGCGACTGGTCAGGTTGGTCAAAGATGGGACAAAGAGAAAAAAAAAGAGAAAAATATCTATGAGAGAAATATATTCCTTTTTAAATAAACTACCAACATCAATTGCATCTGCTTGGCAGGAAAAACTCAAGCTGTAAAGTTAGATGAGTCTTTTTCAGTAACTAATTGATAAAACCACCCAGGGCTGAGGTCATCTCCTCAGTATTCAGTGTGTGGTAAAGGAGACACAGCACAAAGCCCCGAACCCACAACCATATATCATATTAGGACAAAAACTAAAAAAAGGCAAGGCTGAACTCCGCACTCAGATGATGATTATGTCACCAGGTTTTATTGACTGTCAGGCCCAGAGCTAAAACAAGAGCTGAGCTGTACTGTAAGTGTTCAAGAAAGAGGTTTTTAGAGATTACACAGCGTTGGGGAAATCCAGCTATTATCTGCACAGACTTTTTAATATTCTTCTGTCAAGTGTGGTGAGAACCGTGCCAGATGTCCTCAGGCACATTAAGGATTGACAAGCCCATGTATAGTGTAAGCTTGTGTTTCATGCTTAGAGGCATATGCAGTAGCTGCCATATGAAATTAACTTTTTGTGTTCTTTGTCTTTCTTTTTGCAGAAACATCTTCCCATTCATCTTCAGACCTCCTGAGAATTAAGAGTTTTAGGGATGTTTTTAGTCACTGTTATAGTGCTTGGTTCAGATGAAATTCATTCTTGGATATCCAAATAAAATAAAATGAGTACAAGTTGCAAAAAATGCAAAGTTTTATTGATAGAAGGAATATAGTGCATTGTTTTTCATTTAATTTAGCATTTCCAACAGTCTCACTTTCATTTATAGATATTATTTACAGTTGGTCGTTTAAGTTCAGATCCCTAATAATAAATACATTTTGTACATTCTTTTGGTCTCCTCTTGTGTTATTGCAAAATGCTTGATCATTAGTGACAGTTTGGTAAATAACCTAGTAAAAAACTAACGATTAATACAGATTCTCTGATTTGCATTTTGTATCTCCCTGTTATTCTCGGCTCTACCTTAATGGCTAAAGGACACCAGTCCTCTGGAACTGGAATTTAACACCCTGTTATTGATGATTTAAAATTATTGAAGTTATTTAGAGATGAGGAAAATGGGCAGAAGTTGAAAAACGCTGTAGTGTTTTTGTGTTTTTTTCTATCTCTGTAAACTATAATCTTTTCATCCTGCAAATCAGATTTGCGGCATTTTGTCCTGAAGCGATAAAAAGTCAGTAGCGTGATTTGCGGCACATGTCACATCGACATGCCTTTGCCGTCAGGATCTCGATTTCATCGTAGTGCAGACCTCGTGGGCAGTCCAGTCGAACTTTGACCTGGAAAAAAAGCAGAATATCCTCTTAATGAAATGAGCCAAACTCCAGTCCACACATAGCTGCCTTTAGTAGTACTTAAAATGTATCTGGGTGTTATATATTTGCAAGTTGAATAAAAACATATTTATTAACCAATAAAAGCCAAAGAAAATTAGATCAGTAAAACTAAATGCCACAGCAAATCATAGCTCAGTAATGACAAATAGTGGTCTTTAAAAATATGTGCTCTTTTAAAAAAACATCTTAATCTAGGACTCTAGTTATATAAAAGATGTGTGATTTTTATTCACTAAACTGCTCTTAGCTGTACTTAATCTTTAAATCTGTAAATCTTCTATTGAAAAAAGAGAAGATAAAAGAATAAAAATTCTGACAATTTAGACATATTTTATAAGGTTTTTAAACATCATTAATCCTAATTTATCATTTAGGTCAGGCATCCCCAACCTCGGTCCTCGAGGCCCCCTGTCCTGCAGGTTTTAGAGGTGTCCTTGCTCCAGCACAGCTGATTTTAATTAAAAGCTGATTAACAGGCTTTTGGTCTACTGCAATCACTATAATCCGCTGTGTTAAAGCAAGGAAACCTCTAAAACCTGCAGGACAGCGGTCCTTGAGGACCGACTTTGGGGATGCCTGATTTAGGTGAATCCAAATTCGTAAAGGTACATTGTGTAATAATTAAAGGGATTTACTGACATGAGTGGTATATATATAATCTATACAGTATGTTTGTTATTTATTTATTTAATTGAATGTTTCAATCTTTATGTTTGCCTTGCCATAGAAATTGCTTTATAATTACATAAGTCGGTTCAGATTTGTGGAGGCAGACAGAGCTGACAAACTAGTGACTGTAGAGATCACTATAATTCTTAAATGTGACTGCAGCATGTTGGCCTATGAACAATTCTACACAGCGCAGAGCGGGACAGAAAGAGACTGAACAAACTAGTGACAATGACCACTTCTGTCCTAGGCTACACCCTGGACTCGGTGGAGGAAGTGGCTGAGTGGCTTACATCCATCATAGACAACACCTTCAGTCCTCGGCACCAGACTGTAGAGGAGCTGAGTAGCTCCTTTAGTGAAAGACTTTTACACCCTTTTTGTAAAAAGGAGCGCTACCGCAGGTCGTTCATCTCTGCCGCCATCAGACTCTACAATGCGGCACTACAACAGCAATAACTAGTGCAATGTATAATGTGCAATGTACTGTTTCATACCCTGTGCAATCACCTGTTTCTCTATATTTGAAACCAATTGCAATAACTATAAATATAAATATCCCTATCCTCCGCCGGGAATCAGTGGCTGTGTCGGAATGTCTGCCCTAATCACTATAATGGGCACTAGAGACTGACATTTTTTCGGGAATCCCACGGGTCACGGGATTCCCGTTGGATTGGAGTCAGTATTAGTAACGATCACGTGATTGGGACGGTACAGGATTAAACATTAACGGGAGCAGACGGGAGCAGGAGCAAACTAATAGTAATTAAAAAAACTAGGATCGATGCCAAAAAATACAATAAAATAGAAAGAAAAAAAATCCAGTACTGGCGCAGCCATTTTGTAGTTTTTTTCCTTGAAGCCTACAGTACACTATACAGTAATGCGAGTCAAAAAAACTACACGACCAAAAAACCAACAGTGTTTCCGCTCTGAGTTTTTCACCCGCGCTCAAAAACAACAATGGAGGGACCAACAGTTACAGTAGTGGCGAACTCGACTTCAAAAAGTTTGATTTGCAACTCAAGCTGAATGAGAGTGGTGCAGGAGCGGGAGTCATTCTGAATGGGAGCGGGATGGGAGTGGGAGTAATTTCACCAGGAGTGGGACGGGACAGGATTTAGATTTCTACTCTGGCCCGGGATCGGGACGGGACACAAATTTTTTCTGTGGGAGTGGGACGGGACAGGAGTGAAAATCCAATTCCGTGTCAGTCTCTATTGGGCACTATATAGTGATTAACCTATGTTAAATGAGTGTCCGAACATCTAGAGGATGAGAGAGTAGTGAACTTGAAATTTCCCACAATGTTCCTTGAAAAGTAGTGATCATCCATGGTCCCTAGATGAGCAGATGTATTCCGGAATGCTTTGCGAGACCACTCCTCGCAAAGCATTATGGGATTTCTTGTCACAGCGGCCGACTGTAGCTACCCGACAGCAGTGACAAATAAAAAAGATGGCGTAGACACCATGCAGGGAGGCTGAGTCACATGACTAATGGGGAACGATAAGTAGTCATCATCTGTCTGAAAGGTAAGTTAACTGAGTTCGCTAAAAAATCCACTCTATAGTCCCGTTTATATATGACTGAGGGATTTAAGGGTTAGGGTGGACGATTGGACACAGCAAAGCAGAGTGGTGGAAGATCAGATTTGTCCACCGGGCAGAGAAAGGTCACAATGCAGGATAGCTGTACCACTGTAATTTTGATGTGTCTAAATGATAAAGTAGGGTTAATAATGTTTTAAAAAATTAATTCAATATGGCTGAATTCTCCAAGTATTTATTCTTTTATCTTCTCTTTTCAATAAAGCATTAACAAATTCAAAGAGTGGGATTAAGTGCAGCTAAGAGCAGTTTAGTGATAAAATCACACTTTTTTATGTAACTGAAGTCCTAGAGGCTCTCCAAACACTTAAATTAGATACTAAAATATATTTTTTTAACCTATAAAACCTATATCTATGTCAGCTATTAACTATTTACCGAAGTGGTACATGTTCTACCAACTTCAAAAATCACTTATCTAGACTAAATAGGTGTCAATAAAACAATTCTCACCTTGGCGTCCTTGTTGATGGTGCAACAACGTGATGCAGAGGTGATATTGTGCGTGAAGTTTGACGCCACCAGAACGGAGTATCTGGATGGGAAAGCACTGGACTCACAGTAGCCCACGCAGGCGTACACCAGATGGGTGCCTTTACAAGTTCCCCGACGGTCACTGCGGATGGTCACGTTGATGGCTGGAAGACATGACAAACAGGATGTGTAACTGGCATGGGGGTTTCCTTATTGGATTTACTCTGACATTTAATGAATTCTCAGATGCTGCATAAAATAAAAATAAATACAGAAATGATAAAGTAAAAAAGACAACTCATAGCATAGCAGCAAATTCAGCTATATTTACATCACAAGCAAGTGAAAATATCAGAATATAGAAAAAAAATCACATATGATTACAATTACAAAACTGTTAAAACTTCTAAAACTTCTTAAAATGCCTTTACATTGCATATTCAAATTAGTAGAGCAAAACCTGGTCTCTGTAAACGTATTTCGGTGGGTGTTTCTATTAATGTTTTCAATTTGCAACAGTGTGATTGAATAAACCATAGGTGGGCACATTTGTTGAAAGCGTGTCTACCTGACGAAGTGAGGCTGGACTCCATTCTGGCTCAGTAGTGCAAGAAAATAATATTTGATTTGAAAATAATGCACTTCATTATTCATCAGAGCACAGCTGTGGGTGTATTAAGCTTAATGTAGTTGGATAAAGAATAGTTATGGTACATAAAACAATCTGTTTTTACAGAAAACTCAATATGAGCCTGAATTCTAATTTTCAGTTTTCAGATCACTGAATCTAGATGCTAAGGAAACACATTAAATGAAATTGTTTTAGAAACTGTTCTCAAATCAAATTTGGAATTAAATGGGGAAAATAAATAACATTTAGTGCTTTGCTGCAGGCCTGGATGTCCAACAGGTTGCGTTTCTGTATTTTTAAAGGTCTAATTTCATCATAAACTGCCATGTTCGCTGGCTTGTCATTCAGCTCTTGTGGGTTTTTTACCTCCAAAACAAACAGCTTGAGGTTTTCTGCCCTTGCTCTAACTGGATGTTTCACTTTTATTAATATGTCACTTTTTTGTTTAGTTTTTTTTGACTCAGCAGACATTTAACATCCACCATCTTATGCCATTCTCTCAATTAACTTTCTGGAAAAAGTTATAAGCTTTTCCCATTTGGATGTGAAGATATTTATGAATATGATTAGAATAGAATTAATTAACAAGCAGCTTTTTTAATACTTAACAGCACTTTACAAATAATAAAAAAATTCTATAAGATAACATTTTAAACTTGTACTCTTGTTATGAAAAAAGCAATTTTAAGTATTTAGCAGTTTTATTCCATCCATCCATGCATCCATCCATCCATCCGTCTGTCCGTCCGTCTGTCCGTCAATCCATCCATCCATCCATCCATCCATCCATCCATCCATCCATCCATCTTCTGCTTATTCTGTCAGGGTCACGGTTAGTTCAGTTAAATATCCTGCAGTCAATGGGCGAAAGGTAGGGCACACCCTGGACAAATCGCCAGTCTGACGCAGGACAAGTTTTTTTTTCTTAAGTTTTTTATTTCCTCAATAAATAATGCTATAGTGTATCAAGGGTCCAGCCTCTTGAAAAACAGTTTTTTTTTTTCATTTTCTTCAAAGTAAACTTCAACATCTTCTGTAGGGGCCTAAATTCAGTTTAAGTTAAGTTAAAAAGAAATCATGAATAAGTTACAGTAAATATCCGAAAGTAAACGGTTCTTATATTCAATGTTTGTAATTGTACTGAGGTTCTTTTGCAAATCTGCACAGTTTTGTTTCTGGATGTTGAGGGGAATAGCTTCTGCTTAAGTATTAGTCAGGTAATTGGAGTGGAGCCACACAGTTTTTTGACCTCATAAATTTTTCTCTTTATCTTCTTTTATTATTTATTTTTTTATGGAAATTTAATACCTGTATCGTTTTTTTAATCTTTGAAGTAGAAGGTTAAGGATCCCGTTTGTTTTTTTGGTTTTTTGTTTTTACCATCAAGCGAGTTACAGAGGGGAAAAGAGCGTCAAGCTTATGGCTTCATTACTTATGAAACTACATCTTCCTTGAACTGGGATACAGAGATGTTGATTTTGTGTTTGCTATTAACCAGCCACCTTCATAAGTGAAGATTTAAGAGCTCTCTCCTGAACTTCACTACTCATTGACATAATGAGACTTCTGCACGTCTGTACTTATTTCAGAGTTTCCTCCTTAACAGCAAGTTGTTTAACAAATTTCTACATTTTTTTGGGAACAAAGTAGATTTTTTTCTTTTTCTGGATGTCTTGTTCTTTTTCTTTCTGATTGAAACTCACGATATAGGTGACATCCTGGGGTTTGTCCCTCTTTGCTCCATCCAAGAGGAGAGAATAGCAGCAGCAATGACATCAGGGCAAGTAGACAGATGTGTAGGACGCTCTGCGACATCTTTGCGGATCAAACAAAACAGGATGTTAGATTCTGCTAGAGTCCCATAAGTAATTACGAAACTTCTACTTGATAAAGTTAATTTTTAAACTTTTGATTTCTTTATTCGTAATAGGTGGAAGCCTTTCTTAATTAATAAAATAAACTGTTTTCTTTTCTAGGCTGAAAAATAAACAGTCTCATCCTGGTCTGCTTCATTTCCCCTCAAATCAAAATCCCCCTGCCCTGCATGTATTAATCTGAGGTGATTTCCCCACCTGCAGGACTGCCTGAATAATAACAGTCCTGTCTGAGTCTTTCCAGTCTGCCTCATCGAACAGTTACCTGCAGTTACATGCACACATACAACTTCCTCATGCACAGCACCTCTGTGAACAGTAAGCATAGCATCACATCAACAATAGTACAATGAAAATATTTGCTTTATCTTAAGCCAGTCTTTATGTGCAGAAATATACGTCAAGTGAAGCCCGACTCCACCTGACTCACACACTTCCACAACTGTGCAAACAAAACTACATTTTTCCTGGTTATTTGGTGATCCTGACCTCTGCCCTCTATTTTGGAAGCTTTTTCCAGATTCGTGCATCAGCTGTGTGGCACCAGCAGCAGAAACACCCCCACTGGGAATCAATTAGTACTGTAGGGAACAATCAGAGTACCACTTCACCACTGGGGATGTGAATCTGTGCGCTAGGCTCTTTGTGAGCTGATGGGGAAATGTCCAATTTTTCCTCCTATGTCGGAGTTTCCACTTCTGAAGGTTTGTTTTTCATGAAAGGGTGACAGAACCCTCCCTCTGTCAGAGGTAATTATCTTTAAATGTTCAAATTAATTTAGTGCAATGAATTCTCTATGAAAATAGTTCAAATTGCCCAACAAAATAGCACTCTTTTAAATTCCAAATTTGTTATAGCACTCTTAGGATTTATATTTTTAAGGATGTAGATTGTTAACTAAATGGAAAATGTTTAGTTAACAATTTAAGTTACAACCAAAAGTTTCAGTGTGTGTTATTGAAAGTGGTGCATAAATGTGAATTGAGAGGAAATGATGCTCGGCCCTACAAAAATCACTGCATCCTCTATTTTGTAGTCAGGCCATTTTACTGCAGTACTCATCTCATCAATCCAGGTGGAACTGACTGCCTTTAGTTGCCACCTGATTACTAAGTTTCCTTCTTGTGTGTAATTTGGCATCGGTGTAAATCCAGCTGTTCTGAGAAGCCCTTGGAGAACATTGGTGACCAACACCCATCATGAGGACCAAGGAACATAGCAGACAGCTCCAAGAGTTCACAGCAGAGTTAGGTTATGAAAAAAAGATCTGATTGGTCCATCATCTGACGATAGATTGCTAATCTTTTTAGATGTGTCCATCCCACTAATCAGAAAGGCTAAATAGCAATGCATCCAAGTCTCCCATGCTGACTCTGGAGGGGTTGCAGATACCTACAATCAGTATGAGAGTATGGAGCTAAATAAGGGCCATAAAGCTTGTTTGAGAAAAAAATATATATTTCAAACTACTAGTCTGCAGTTTTGGAAGTCCGCCTTATAAATCAATTAAGCCAATTGTAAAGCAAGTGGATTCAGATGAAAGAGACACATCATAAGACTTATAGCTGTAACAGCAGTGATAGACAGCATTTAAAAGAATTAACTCAGAGGGACCATATCAAATGCAAGCCCTACTTTTCAGATTCTTTTAGTTGTTGCTTGTAAACATAATAGAAAACCATTCATTATCATATCACAAATACGTACTCCTCTGTGTTGGTCTGTCACATAAAATAAACTAACAGTTAAGTTTACTAATAATTAAATTATTCACTTGTGCAGGGACCTTTGTATCTCTCATACCAAATAGCTGCTAGTTAATTAGATTCACATGATTTTTTTTCCCCCAAATGGAATAGCTCCATGTTAAATTTACACCAAGCCAAGTTTTAGTTCAGAATTTTTTTAAATGCAATTTGTTGTTTTGTTAAAAAAATTATGAACTAATGCCTTTCAAAATAAAAATACAGAATATGCAAAACACTGATCTCAAGATGAATCTGATTGGTGTAACCATGATTTAAACGTTCCAAAGTTAATATGAAGATTAAGATAAATATGTTGGAGCCTTTTTAGTTAAATGCTGTTTACATAAAAAATTCCTTTTTATCTCTTGAAGAAGAACAAGGATAAAAAGATTATAAGTCATTTTCCATAATTACATAGATGATGTAATGAAACTGATTCTTACCTGGACAGCTGAGAGTTGTGAAGTTTAGGTGAGTTGTCTAACAGCTGTCCTAAGCACCATACAGGGATATAAGTAACGCAGGTAGAAGTGATGGCACTTAAAGCCTTTGGCACACCCACAATTACAAAGATAAGTTTGTGGGATTCCCCCTCACCTCAACCGACTTATCGTCCTCCTCCTCTGAAGATTATCTTCCTACCAGCACAACCAAATATTACAATAATATTCTACTTTTTAACCTCCGTCTCTAACTTTTTGCTTCTTGTTCCTGATATTCCCTCCTTGTCCGCTGGTTTTAAACCATTTCAGGGGAAGCGTATTGCAGTGACACAGAGGAAAACTAAATTGGTTTTTCCATCAAAGCAGAACACACACACATACAGTCAGCTTTACCATACCACCTTCACAGAGAGAGTCTCAAATGTAAAAACACACATTTATGTAGAAAAAAAAAAACATAAGGATAAAGTTTGGACCTCAGGAGTTGGTTGATGATTAGATAACTGGTGTATAACCCCCCCAAAAAAGCATATGCAAGGCACTGCTGGATTTTCCCTCTGCTGCAGCAGCAGGAAGGACACGGTTGGGTCAGAAGATCCTGCGGGTTTGGATCAGCTGTGTGTCTGTGTGTGTTCAACACATGGTGGGTATATTGTGGTGAAGTGTTGGCTCTGTGTCATCCTAGCAACAATACTTACCAAACCCCAGATACTCTTATAGATTCTGCAGAGGTGCATCAATGGTGACTTACAGTAAGCTCTCCAGAAAACAGTTTTATACTGCAACTTTTAACATAGAAATGTTTTAAATTTAGCAAAACCTCAGATACATGATGAACATTGTATAGTTCTATAATATATTTTGTTCAACTTGAGCTGCTGGCATTTCTGAAAGTAGAAAGTTTTTTAGGCACTCATGAAGTGGGTGCAGAAAGCTAAACAGCTACCAATGGGTGTCACAGACATGTTTTTTTTTTTAAATGGTTTTCAAAAAATCTAAAATTGAATCAATTATATTCTAAGGTTTTCAAAGTTTGAAATATATTCAAGTTTTCTTGGATTCTAGCTAATTCATAAAATTGTATTCATTCATAAATAATGTATTATACTATATATTATTTATGAATAACATATTATTTTATTCATTCATAAATAAAATTTCAAGACATATTAAACAGTGAGACCACTGCAATACAAAATTAACCTTAGACATTCTCCCTCCTTACAATTTTTTTTTATCCATTTATTTTATTTGATAATTTTGTTCATTCCAAGCCTGTCATCTTAAAAAGGTACATGTGTCCAGAAAATATGTAATACAACTAATTTAGCTCAAAAAGAAGTGGGAAGAAGAAATCATATTAAATCCCATCCCTGTCTTCCATTATGGTATAACTTTATTGGTTATCATAACTTCCTATCTGTTCAACTGAAAGAGAAGAAAAAAAATGAATAAAAACTAAAATAAGATTTAAATAAATTCTGCCCCTTTTTATAATATTTTGTTACATAATTAGAATCCTAACAATTTCTTTTTAATATAATATTTGGGTAAAACCTGTTACCGGTAACTCACCGGCCTGTTTTATTAGTTATATTTGTCATAGCATAAAAAGGTCATTATTCAAGCACAGCTTAGCTGCTAAATGCATTTAAGCACCTAGATGTGTAAAATCCAACTTGTAGAAGTTTAAACTGAGAGTCAAAAATGGTAATAAAGTGGATTTCAGCGGCATCATGTAGTTTGTTGTTACTGGTGCCAGACAGGCTGCATAGGGTATATCGGAAACGATGATCTAGCTGGATTTCTGGCAAAATTGTCCCCTGGATTTTTAGAGAATAGTTTGAAGAAAAGAAAACATCAAGTGAGTGGCAGTTGTTTAGAGGAATAGGAGAATAGACAGACTGGTTTACACAGGAAGAGAAATGCAGCGCTCATAATCATAATTTTCATAACCAAATAATGCAGAATACCACAAATGTAACTGTTTATGGTAATTTATTTGGTAAAGACAAAAAAATCATTTTTGTATTTCACATGTAACCTAGTAACCTTGGCTTGTTTGCAAAGCTCGTCCCTCGTCGCAGAGACTACACCAGCTGCCTTTCAACAGAGAATAACAAATTGAGTCTATAATTCTCAAAATTGGACCAAAACCGACTGAGAAATTCAGCTGTTTTTTATATTTCACTTCCCTGCAGCCTGGGGCTGCACAGTGACGCAGTGGGTAGGACTGTTGCCTTGCTGCATGAAGTTTGCATATTCTCCCTGAGCATGCATGGGTTCTCTCCAGGTACTCCAGCTTCTTCCCCCAGTCCTAAAACATGACTGGTAGGTTATTTGGCTTTTCTAAGTTATCCTTAGGTGTGAGTGCATGTCTATGTTGCCCGGCAACAGACTGGCAACCTATCCAGGGTGCACCCCACCTCTCACCCATAGACTGCAGGAGATAGGTACTGACCCCACTGTGGAGAAAATGGATGGACTGGTGGACTTCACAGCAGCCAGTTGTTGTTTTAACTTTTTTGAAGATTTAGCTTGTTCGGGTTTACTGCATGCTTGCATGCTTTAATGACCCTGTCCAAATGATTGATTTCTTTAAGATGCATGGCCATAAGGAGTGAATCATGGCTGAAAAAAATCTGCCTAATTTGAAAGACATGTTTTCTTGTTTTTCCTAAGTAATCCAGGGATCACATTAGAAAGTCTGGAGAGAAATATGTTTCTTATGTTTAGATCTTAATCTTTATCTGTTGAACATGATTCTACAGTGGCGTCTGGTGCAGGTGTTTGCCCTGCAATCGGAGGGTTGTCGGTTTGAGCTCTGACTTTCAATGTCGCTGTGTCCACGTCAACTGCATTGCCTACTCATGGTAGTCAGGGGTTGGTTCCAGTGTAGGGCAACCTTGCTGCTGTCAGTGAGGCTACAATGTAGCTTGTCACTATCAGTGTTTAACTGTGTGTAAATGACTAAATGTAGTGTAAAGCACTTTGGTCAAGTCCTCCAAATTGGAAAAGTGCTATATAAGTACAGGTCATCTGCACCAGTCCAGGTCTCCAGCTGGTTCAGCCTCAACATTTACATTAATTTTAGTCAGAAGAAACCTGACGGAAACATTAATGATTACTTGAACACTAAGCCAGCCGGGGCTATACTGTTATTTCCTTCCAAACATCCTGGAAAGAAACACAATCACCTTACTGCCCCAAACATCAGTCTGATGGAAAGAGGAATGTGTGACACCATCCTCTCTCCATACACTCAAAGACGACGCTTTTGGCGTGCCGATGGTGGGTTACACATACAGTCACAGATTCTACGGTTTCCCACCGGCGAAGACAAGCCGAGACGATGGATCTGAATGAGCTGCAGCACCTAATCAACAGAGACACACACACCAGTTGACTCCATAGTGACTCAGCGAGGTCACTGGTGTTTGTGTCGCTCCTAGACTCTGCCGCATTTGGTTTTCATGGAAACCACGGCATCTGAAGGAAGTCGTTAATGTGTCCACTTCCACCTCAGAGTTATTAGAGTAGCCTTTGTGAGTGTGGCTTACATCATATCCGTCTGCTTGTCATGCAGTGTGTGTTGAGTGTATATCTGTCACGTGTGTTTGTGTAATATTAGGCATACATACAAAGTAAACAAAAGACTGGACAAAGTTTTCCTGTTTCTAAAATTACCTCCTTGTCTAAAACCACTTTTATGTGGACGAATCATAAGTCTTCAACATTTCGGGGTTTTCTTTATTAATACACCTTGATAGCTTGCTTAAATTCTACATAATAATTTATGTGAAACTTTGTTCATATAATTTGTAGCCCCTTTATTAAGTACTTTAGATCTAATGGGAATTTACATCTCTCCGGTCTTGTTAATGTCATAGGAGAATCAGGAGACTGGTTTGAGATGATCAAATTAGGGCTTGTTAGAATAAAATGTATGCTGAATACCATCTCAGAAGGTAGAATGCATCAGAACTTGGGGTCAATCCGTTAATTTCAAATAGATTCCTCTTGTTTTCACAGGAACAATGCAAACATAATGCCAAAACAAAGCATGTCACCGAGGTTCTGCTTATAAAATTGTAGCTAATGACAATTTTTCAACTCCTGCCACTGTTTGGAATTTTATGCAAAATAAAATGTACTTATTACAACACTACCGTTTAAAACATAAACATGATCAATTTGTAATTCATCCATATCATACACAACTCAATATAAAATAAGTAAACTTTTGGTTTGTCTTTAACCACTTTTCTTTTTTTAAATGCCTGAAAAAGAACATTTTAAAATCAGATACGGTCTTGATGTCAGATGGCAATTAGTCCTAGAGCCTAGAACCCTTAACATAGAAGGCTATCTTTCAGAAAATGGTCTTGCAGCATTTTATTTTAGAGTGATGATTTGATGAGCTTCTAATAACATGAAGGCTGCTTTGTCTCTCATTAAATGTACTTACTTTATAAAAACAAGGAGCTCAACGCTACTCCAGACATTTTGAATTGAGAAAGCTTCCTGGATGGAAAGCGAAATGTGTCCAAGCATGGTCAACAAAGACCAGTGGTTTATTTTTAACTTTCTTTGGAATGTCTATGACCCAGTTGACTGAGAATCTTCACCAGCATTGATGTTATTGTAGCATCAATGCTCATCAAATATCGTTTTTGTGCATATTGTCACTAACCATGTCCATCCATCTTTTATTGCCTCTTTAAAAAGGGATAATGCACCATCCATTTTACAAAACAAAAATAATCTCAAACTGATTTCCTGAAAATAGCAACTAGTTTTCTGAACTGTTGTAGCACCCATCATCGACTTAGTCCAATAGAGCATCTTTGGGAAAAAGAGAGGAAGGAGATTCACACCATGGCTGTACAGCCAACAAATCTACATCAAATTTTATCTTGTCAACAAGAATGTGTCCTACACCTTGCTGAATTTGCGCCAAGAAGAATTGAGGCTGTTTTGTAGTATCCATTGGTGTGGTGTGGCATGTAATTGAAGACAGAATAATGTACCAGGACTTTATACACATGAGTTAGTCCCAGTAAATGACCAAGTCAGCTCTTTTTACACTTAACCTGACA